CGCTTAAAGATGTATTTGGCCATTCTAAGAATGCAAGGGGCCAAGGCCAGTGCCCTGGTGGTAGCCAGCTGGACAGGAGGCCCCCTTACCTGGACATTTCTGTGCGGATGGAGCACCTGTCATCCAGAAGCATATCCAAACCATGCAGACTTGCTAGCAAAGAGATGAGACACAGTTAGAAAAAGGGAAGGCAGCCAGATGTGCTAGAGGGGGGTCATGGAGGAGTCTCATTCCCACAAGGGCTGGGCCAGCATCCCCAGTGAGGGAGCAGGGGAAAATGGTGAGACTATAACATTAGGGACATATTGTGCCAACCACTTAAAAGACAAAATGCCCCAAGTCTGAATAATGGGGCAGCTAAAAGATAAGACTATACATAGCAGAGAGTAACACTGGGGCTATTAATTAACCTGCTCAGCAATGTCACAACAGCTGCTGAGAGGGAAGGTGAGTACAGGGGAGGACTGTACATTGTCATAGTACTTTTGGATAGGATCGAGGCAACATTTTTACTTTTTAATTAAATAACATATATGGCTCTTAGTAATGTGCCAGGCACTTGTTCTAAGTAATTAACAAATATTAACTCATTTAATCCTCATATAACCCTATTAGATAGTGTCATCCTGGCCCAAAGAACATAGCTAATAAGAGGCCAAGCAAAGGTTTGCTCCCAGACAGTCTGGGTCCGGAATCGGTGCTCTGAACAATTCTCCCAAGCTGCTTTTTGATGTGGTAGACATCAAATACTTTAACGTTAATTTTGCATATCCTTGACCTAGAAATGCCTTCTGTAAAAATTTATCCTAAGGAAATAACCAGCATCCCCCACGGAGAATTTACAGATGAGAATGTTCATGCAGTGTTATAACAGTAAAAAGCTGGAAAACCGCAGCTTTTGCCCGAAGCAGGCAAAAAGTTTGTGAATTCCTCCTACCACGCTATCTTCTGATGCACCCACAACTGCACTTAAGACTCATAGAAGGAAAAGCAGTCACTGGGCATTATGCTCCGGGCTGGCACTGGGACCCATGCTAAGGCACACTCATGTGCTTTGATCTCTTTTAATTCAAATACTACACACTTACTATTCTAATTTTACAGATGAACAAAGTGAGGGCCAAGAGGCAGATAAAGGATCCCCATGGTCACAGAATAAGTGGCAGAGCTTGTTTTAGAATGCACATCATTGATTGCTCTTTCTGTATCAACTCACTATCTCAATCAACTCAGGGGCCTCAGGAAGGGGCCTTTGCTACTTAAGCATGCCCCAGCCCTGCATCTCAACAAACCGATATCAAGAGCCTTACCTTCAGAGCATGAAATTCTCCTTTCAAAAGTCAAAATATAATATGACTTCTTTAAAAACACATGAAATTATGCTGCAGGTACCAAAAATACTAAGGGACCATAATCTATCAAAAATCAGTCTTTACCTAATTATCTAGAGAAAATGATCTTAAACTGTATGAAAAAATTTATTGAAAGCTGTGTGCCAGATACTGTTTTAAGCACTTTGCATGTATTACCTCATTTAATCCTCATATTTACAGTGAAAGTAGGAATTCTTTTTATTCCCATTTTATTTAAATGGAGGAAGAAGGGTTTAGCAAATTGTCCATGTGGTAGATGGGCTCTGGACAGTGTGGTCGGCGATACAGGAAAGCAAATATCTACAGGAGGAGGCTCAGGGGCTCATCGCCCACACAGCCCTGGAAGGCACAGCTGCTCCTGGGAGAAAAAGACACCCGGTGATTCCATCTAAAGCCTGGTAAGCCAGCCTCAGGGCCTTGTCACCAAGCCTGCCCTCTTCACAGCACTCATGTACTTTGAGCTGGTTGGCCCACGCCAACCAACCGAGCTCCAGTTGGTTACCAGGGGGTACGTGACCAAGCACTAGCCTCATGGTAAACCATGGAGGGGCAGGTAGTTGCTGCACTTTCAAACAGAGGGCAGAGCCTGTAATTCCCACTCTGGTGGTAGCGGTTTGGATAAGGGTCAAAAGACAGGTCCCTTTGGTTCATGCTTTGAAAACTCGTACCCCAGCGTGAATCAAAGCTAAGCTCCTCGGGGAACTGGACAGCACTACTCAAGAACAAGCTCCGATGTCTTAGACACAACCTCTGCGTGACGGCTTGGGCATTAATTAGGTCTTTAGGGTCGTGTCCTGCAAGAGACCACCAAGAGAGAGAGCAGGTAAACAGCACTGCTGATGGCGCCCTGGGCCAGATATATCAGGATGTGGGGGACTCAAGCACTGGTCCTGTCCTTCACCCAGCATTTGATGCCGACCTTGGCAAGTAAAACGAAGGGACTGCTGTCTCTGACCTGAGACTCCGAAGTCCTGATTGATGTGTGTTTTCAGAAAGTCAAACCTTTGCGTTGTTGGAGCTGGTTGGTGGTTGTGTATAGAATGATTTCATAACGGGCCCCCTTACTTGCTCACCATCTTATCCTGGGGAAGGTATTATGGACTGAACTGTATCCCCTCAGATTCTTAAAATGAAGTCTTAACCCACGACACCTCAGAATGTGACTATTCAGAGACATGGCCTTTAAAGAGGTGATTGAGTTAAAATGAGGCCATTAGGTGGGCCCTCATCCAATCTGACTGGTGACATAGGAGATAAGGACAGACAAGGACACCAGGGATAGGAGAGCTCAGAGAAAAGGCCAATGAGAGAGGCGTCAGAAGAAACCAATCCTGCCGACAATGTCATCTGGGACTTCCAGCCTCCCGGACCGTGAGAAAATTAATTAATTTCTGTTGTTTAAGACTCCCAGTCCATCGTATTGTGCTACCGCAGCCCTGGCAAACGAACACCGAAGGTTATCATCTGCTTTATATATTTTAATCACTGCCTCCCACAATTCAGAATAGTAAGGAATACGATAAACCAAAAGGTTATTTGGTTAATACTTTTAATTACATGATTATAATTACACAATTTCCACTATTCAATATTTTGTATAAAACCAGTTAACAATAACACAATTTCCAAATGCAACAATACGTATCAAACTACATAGATATGTAAAGTTTACAGGCCTTTATGAAGCTTTATCTTAAAAATACCTTCAGGAAAATAAACATTCATTCAACCAGTTCTTCCAGCTTTATAAAATATGATTAGAAATATACATTTTAATTTAAAAAATCAAGACAATGGTTGATCAAATAGTGATTAATCAGTTACATTTAAAAACTTTTAATAATCTGTACATGAGTGCAGGTTAGATAAAAGTCTGCAAATTACTAATATAAAACTGCAGTACTATAATCAAATGAACATATCTGCTGACATTTAATTCTACTGGGCAATTAAGGAGGTAATTTCCTACACAGTATAGGTGAATTGTCCAGTCTTTTAAACACATCTGTAGTATTTCCACTTGGCGACAGGGAGAATACTCAGATTTAGGAGAAATGGAGGAGCAGCAGCTAGCCTCACAAGGACAGTGTCAGTGGGAGATAACTATCAAAGAAGTAGGTTTTTATGGTTTTTGATGAGCACTGCTTTCCAAAGTACAATAATTACTATTTAAAATGAAGAGAAGCAGTTAAGCTACTTTTAGAACATCGAAGGAGTACATTGCTCATGTGTCATGAACAGTGATTCAAGCAAAAGAAAGGCTCCCGGAGCTCTTGGCACACCACCAGCCAGATGCCCGAGGGTCTACACAGCCCACCGAGCGGGGATCAGGCCCTCAAAGGAAACATATTTGCCTCGTGAGAACACCGGGGCACTCCTCTAAAACTGGTCTGGGCCCAAGAAAAGAGGTAGAAATCACCCCTGAGAGGGGTAGGAGGGCAAGGAAGAAAGTGAGTGGGTGAGAGGCTAAGGTGATCAAGTTTGGAACAGAATAATTCTGGAGACTAGAAGAGCAGCGGTGCCACTGGGAAGCAGCTACACTTGACAAGAAAGGCTACTTGTTTTAGTGAGGCAGTGCTCGGGGTCCGCCCTCTTCACTGACAGGTCGTAGAGATTCCTAGGTTTTCTTTAGCAATACGAAACAGAAGTCTGTCTACACATCTAGGTACCCAGTCTTGCAGATGCCCTTCCTTTGGACTGTCCTTGACTCTTGATGATTTGAGTCCCCAGAAAGCTTCAAGGGCATCTAAAACTATTCAATTCTAATTTTAAATCCAATGAAAACTATCGTGGTGTACTTTCAAATCTATTTAAGTTAAAGGAATCTCTCCATCTGACATGCCCTGTTTCATATTCCACAGCAACAAGGTCTTCTATAACAAGGACTCAAAATCAGAATCGCAGAAGATTCTGAGTGTGTTGAAAGTTCAGTTGGGGGAAAAAGAGTCCACTCTTATTCAGAGCAGGAAAGAAGTCTCCCTCAGCCTGACTCAGAGACTTCCTGATTCTAGATAGGCCCCCCCCATAGGTTTAATACTGTGCTATGTCCTTTGTGTTTTCTAAGAAATGACTCTTTATCAAATCACAGTTTCCTATGACTTATTTCAGCAACAAACCTGTTAAATACAAGGATTTTTAGAAAGAACTCCAGTGATCGCAATTCTAGCTGGAAACATGAACACATAAAATTGCCAACACAAAAAGGCAATTCGTAAAATAAAAAAATACTGTGGTTAACACTGAAGCCCAAATTTTTCACTCTTGGCCAAGACACCAAATGGCTTATCTCTGGGAGGGGATAGCACATTTACTTGTTCTGATGTAATAAAAAGCCAAATCAAGAACAGTTCAGATGAAAATTTGATTTTCACAACCACCTGGGTTACTGATGCAAGAGATAGCCTTTAAAAGTATAAAGGGAAGAAGAATTGCCCTGAGAATTCAATGTTTTATGCCTGGGCAGTTTGAATATTCAATATTATCTCCCAGCACAACACAGCAAATGGAATGTTTCTCTTCCCACCCAAAGCTTATTGAAAAGCAGTCTTCCCAACAGGCAAGTCAGTCTTTGTGCCTGTGAAGAACATCCAGGGGTAGAAAACCAGTATTTTTCTGAGACCGTTCCCAGTGTGTGAAAGCTGGCAGTCCCATCCCCACACGCCTGAGGGGGAAGAGCTGCTCATTTGGCCACAACAATGGCGTTTTCCATCTCCCGAGCCTCGAAGCTAGTCAACCTCACAATTACTCTGAGAGAGTAAATACTAAAGCGGAGCCTAGGTCTTCCAATTATTTTTGCATTAACAGACGTCGGTCTGTTTTTCCCAACCACTTCTAATTCCTCGTAGTTCTGTGTAAAAGGCAGCTTTTTAAAAATGGAATTGCCTACTGACCTAATTCATTCATCTTGTAATGTGAAGACATTTTGCCTTTTAATAGTGTATCCCCCCATTCTCCAAACTAGAATAGGTCAACCTTGGTTAAAAATGACTAAAACCATTCACTTCTTATTATAGAAGTAACCAAGGTGATTTCAAAATATTTTGGGCCCCAATTTTTTTAATCAGCAAATAAACTCTGTTTTTGTGATTGCTTTATATCACACAGACAGACTCTGCTGTGTTTCTGCAGGGGGAGGGGAGAAGGCACTCTGCAAAGAGTTAATTCCCTAACCAAAGGCAACAGTGAGTGTCTTATTCATAAAGAATTGAAATCCAGATGTGAACAACTATCGCTGAAATCAAAAAATGTGTGAATGGCCTTAGGCTGAGCACATAACAAAAATGTCCACAATGCTACAGAGAAAGACCCTAATAAAGCAGTTAAGTTTTTTTCAAAGCCACCATTATTTGGGGTCACTGTTTCCAAGGGGAAACACCAACAGTGTAGGGTTTTTTTTGCGCATGGAAGGAAATATTATTTTAATTTGTATGACTGGGTAACCAAAAATGGGCAGCCTTGAAATTCTTCAGTTCCTAAGTGACATAAAATGGAATGACTTAAAACAATCTTCCAACTCTGAAGCCAATTTCTCCTCCTGAGTCTTCTAAAGCTACTCTTAATATTCACTTGCAAGTTTTAAGGTTACCAGCATAACTAACACTTTGTATCACGACATGCAACAGTCTTCAAATGTGGTTTTCACAGATTATTGTTAATAAAGCACTCTTTGGTGGAAGACAAGCAGCTTGGGTACTGAACAGAGTTAACATTACAACAGTATTACAAATATTAAAGTGAAGATGATTACACCAATAGTATCAAATTACAGGAAGTACCATTTCAGTAATGCCTGTTTTTATCTTTACAAATTTTGACACAGGGTGAACAGAAAATAAATAGGTAAAAAATCTCCATCAGCTCCTCCATTCCTCTGAAGGCCAGCAGCTAAAATGATTGCCATCACAAGGACACACATGCACCACACAGAGTAGTCAGCTCTCCTGATAACAGAGGGCTTTGATATTTACACCTGAGACTAAATTTACAACAGCTTTTTTGTGGTTCAACTTGAGACATTTCTACAAAAGGAGAGTTGGACCATCTTCGAGTCATCACTTGTACCCAAACTCATGTAGTTACTTAAACTCCAGTGGACAGTTTCTTCATTGAATGAACTTCTTAGGTGGAAAGCAGCTAAGGCTTTTGCAATTTTGTTTTGTTTCCCAATAAATTGTGCTAAGTCCTGTTGTAGTTTTCTGTTCCTAGAGTCTTCCTTCAGTTCTGGTCACGGGTTTTTACTTAACGCAAGACTGTTTTAGTCCTTGAAATGGACGGACTACAGGGGAAAAAAAAAAGGATTTTACCATGAAGGTCTTCAAGTGTCCCATATGTAGTTATCAAAGACAAGGAAGGCAACATAATAAAAAATACTGACATGCTAAAAAGTATACAATTTGTATAATTCTTTAATAACAGATACTTTGGAAAGGACAGTACAATATCAACCATAAAGACAAACAGGAGAGAAAAGCAGAGCAGAAAAAGGTTCAGTTCTGCAAAAAATAAAAAAACAAAAAACAAAAAAAAAGAAGGGAGAGCAGAAGCAGCAGAGCAATAAGAGTACCATAATGCCATTAAGGGCATTTGCTGCAAAGCATTCCTTTTCCTTCTTTCCCTCTGAGGAATCAGGCTGTGGGAAAAGTGGAAAGAATGAAAAGATAAAGAAGTGTTACTTGATTATTTCCAAAGCCAGAATTTGGTCATAGAAAAGCTCTGGCACCTCAAGCAGTTTCCAGTTTAGTAGAGCGCAAAAGGCACCCGCGCCTTGCTCCCCGCCTTCCCCACACGCGCTGCGCAGCGCGAGGGGACCACCTGCTGCCAACTCCTCACAGGGGACAGAAGCAGGACGCCCGAAGGACCCTTGTCTGTTTGTAAATAACTGCCCTGGACTGATCCTCACACCCTACCTCCCTTGTTTCCTTCCTTGATTTATTCCATATGCTTTCAACTAAATAGCAACTTTCAGAGAAAAACTAAAGCAAAAGAAAAGAGTGAGAAAAACCACTTTCCATTGGGAGGTGACCCTCGCTTGGATGATGACGGTGCTCTATCAGAGCAGCTCATCTAAATCCATCACGTTGTTTTCGCAGACCTCAAGAGAGTATTGAGTATAAAGGTCCAGGTCAGTTGACAAGAGGGAAAATATCTGGAATTTCAAAGGAAGATTAGTATTTCAAAAGGTCAGAGGTAACAAGCATTAAAAAAATTTAGATATATTCTGAGACTTCTACACCAATGTACTTTTGGTGACAATGGCAGTAACAAAAAATTAAAGCCCAGAGGTGATGGAACAGACACTGAGATCTGAGACTCTAAGGAACAAGAAGCAATGACAAATATGATGATGGTGAGAATCATAAATGAGAAGACATAAAAAAAGTCCAAAAAAAAAAAAAAAAAAAAAAAGGTCCTAAATGCAGCTATGCTTGACTGAAGGGCTTGTGAAGAGACTCATGGTTTCAGAGGCTGAGGAAAGAGCCCTCGCAATACGAATAATCAGGCACAAGATACCCCGAAACGATGAACATTAGGTAGGTCTAACAGGTGAAACAGAAAGTGATGGTTCCCAACGATGCAACTTGGAATAAAAAAGTCTCTTGTACATGACAGTTTTCTTAGAAAATGAATGAAGTTATAATTTAAAAAAAGAAAAGAGAAAGAAAGAAATGAAATACTGCTGCAAAGAAAGTACAAGCTGACAGAAACATGCACTTATGAGCTATGTATAGACAGGAATTGAATGATATCAAATGAGGTAAGTGGCTGCCAGGTTCTCAATGGGAAGCACGATGGTGGCATTTTCAAGGCTCATTCTAAAAGAGTTCTTCAGAGAGTTAATGCGAGAACACTGAAAAACAGGCCGACTCTTCACTGGATTTACTAATTTTTAAAAGAAAAAAATGGGTATCGAGCTCTAATAGGAAGTGAGAGGTATAGAGGGCCATTAGTTTGCTTCTTCCAACTTGGGAAAGGGGGTGAGGAAGGTACCACACAGAACTTCCTTGGCACTGAGGGTAAGCTGCATCCTACCTACCACGAGATATACATCGCAGCCTGAACTGCTACGGCTGCTAGAGCAGAGCCTGTCACACAAGACTGAGGTTTAGATGTGGCTTCCATTCAATGGATACATGAGAGAAACATGATGGCGATTCTTCCCAACAAATGGCTTATTACAACACTCTTATTTTTTCAGTCCCCAAATATTTGCTCTTTTAACATGTTTGTGAAAAAATTCTTCAAAGTTGTAGAGCTTCTCAGTAAACTGTCAAAAGAGCCGTATCAGTGGAAAGTAAGTTTAGGTGAGGTCTTCATCCCGGAAGCCTCTAAGAACAGAACAGAATGTGGAAACGAAAGGTCAAGTTCCTGTGGCACGTTAGAGATAACAGTGATGATGTGTGAACAATATAAACCTGCAAAAGAAAAGGCCTTGCAAACAGGAGTAACAACCCACTGGCAACCCTGGTGCCTTGAAAGCATTTATGAATGTACACTGAAA